TGAAGCTCAAGGGCAGCTCAGAAGGAAGAAGGCAGGGAGCCAAGACCACTCCCTGTGTGTTTCCCCACCCCACCCCGTATCTCCCAGTGGGGAGCCAGACGGCCCACAGAGGGGAGGGACATGGCGGGCCCCCAGCCCAGAGGCCAGCCCCCCCCACTGCCCCCCAGGCCTGCGTCCAAAACGGTGAGTCGGTGAGGGGCAGACCCTGGGGCCAGCCCTACCTGTCCAAGGGCAGCGGGTAGCTCAGGAGGCTGGCGACAACGGCCGCCTTGTGCTGGGAGGCCAGAATGAAGACCGTCTGCTGGGCCGCCTTCCGTACCAGCTCCTCGTCCACCTGCTGGAGTTTGGCGTGCACCATCTCCAGGATCTCGGGCACCTGGAGGAGCCCCAAGCAGAAGAGGAAGCTGGGGGGAACGGGTGCCAGCAGCACGCTTCCTCCCGCCAACGTCCAAAGGTCGCCCGACCTCCGGCAAGGCCAGCAAGCCTGGCATCCGAGCTCCAGCGGAAGAGAAGTGGAAGACAGGGCGGACACGGGCGCCCTGGCTCTGGGGAGGATTGCCCACAGCCCTGCAGCCACAGCAGCCCGAGCCAGGCCTTCCTAGCCAAGCCTCCCAACATCCTGTGCCCCAGCGGCCACCCCAGGGGGAGGGCCCCAGGGCCCTGGAAAACAGCCCCATCCTGCCCCAACAATGCAGCTGCTGGAAGCAACATCCAGGCCTTCTGTTGGGTCTCAGGGAGAGCTTCCTCCCCACAAATCTCTCCTGCACTCCTTCAAAGCTGCCCAAGAGGGGGGGGGGCATTTGCAATACCCGGAGGCAGGGAGTTCCACAAATCAACCGTGCCCTCCTCCTGGACCTGCTCAACTTCTCTTCCTCACCCTCATCCCCCAAAAAAAGCCAAGAAGGGACAGGTATCCAATGGGGGGGGGGGGGGGCACCACAGTGAACAGTCCAACAGCGCCACATGCTGGCCAGACGTGGAAAGGCGCTGGTAGGGATTCTGGGCCGGGAGCCCAGCTCCCACATCATCCTCCCATTGACCATTTTGAGGAACGTCGGCCAGCCGGCAGTTACAAAACAAGGACCGGCCAGCCAAACCAAGGGTGGTCACTCGCAAGCGTGCGAACTCTGCAGGAGGGGCTGCGCAGAGAAAACAGACTGGCCTCCCCGTGACCGCTGAGTATGGGGAAGCGGAGGGATTCGCCCGATGCTTGCTAAGGGAATGGGTCGTGGCCTGGGATTTGACCCTTTCCCTGAGCCCATTTCAGGAGGAATGAGAAATCCAACTTACCAGATAAGCAGTTTTTGTTTGTTTAATGGAGACACATATCACAAAATCCGGTGTGACGGTCTCCGGGCTGCACAGGGGGCCAAACCCCCCCTCCCTCCGAAGTCCCTCCGGGTGGGCATCCTTCCAGACTCCCCCTCACCCCCCCAGTTGCCCCCCATGGCCAGGCAGGGCTGGTCCCCACGCTGTGGGCCACCTGCAGGACGGGAGAGAGGCTGGGGGCCACCCTCCCCCCCCAGGTGTCCCTCTGAGCTCCACGGGCCCAGCTGCCTGAAGCCACAAAGCCCATGGTCCCCGAAGGCTCTGGAAGGCTCCCCATCCCCCCGGGGAGGGGGGTGGCCCTCTGCCCCGCTCACCTTCTCCAGCAGGACAGCCCCGCGCTCCTTCAAGACAGAGTTGATCATCACCATGGCTGCTCGAGAGCAGTTCCGGTCGGGATCCGATAAGCCCTCCAGCATGGAGAGGAGGAGGCTGAGCAGCTGGTCTGGAGGAAGGCGCTTGGCAATGACCTGGGGGTGGCAGAGGGGGGGGGCACAGCCATCAAGCCCACGAGCCACCCGTGGGAGTCCCAGGGGATGGGAGGGGGGAGGGAGGGGAAAGCTCCTCGCAAGAGAAAGGGCCACCTTTTGGCCTGTCTTTGTCCAGCCAGCGCGGGGGAGGAGGCCCCTCCTGCATCCAGTCCGATCTCTGGGGATGGGAAGTGGGGTGGGGTGGGGTTTGGGGGCTCCCAAGGCTTGCCCTGCTGCCCCTCTCTTTCTCTCTAGGCCCCAACCCGCCCAGCAGCTGCAGCCTCCTCCCCCAGGCTGGCCCTGAGGCCACCAGGCCAAGGGAGGGGGGCTTGGAAGGGACGCCACCAGGAGGAGGAGGAGTGGGGGGGGAGAGCCCACCTTCGCAATGTTGCAACAGGCCTGGAAAAGGACCTTGACGTCGGGGTCCTTCAGGCCCGGCTTCATGGCTTTCAGCTTCTCGATGGACTCGTCCCTGTGATCCTGAGAGAACCCTGCATGCAGGGGAGGA